GACAAAAAAATACGTCTCAAATATTTGCAGTGTTTTAATCAATGTACATAAAAAAATCTAGAAATTGCAAAAGTTTTCTTAGCTTGAACCCCCTAAAAAAAAAGTTGTGGTTTCTTAGGATCGGAGACAAGTTTTTTCTTGAAAAAAAAACACACACACGCACACACCATGATATACATATAACCTCAAAAAAAGAAAACAGAAAATATCGTTTTCGTATTACCGCTCTCTAAAAAAAAATGAACGAAATTTAACTTACGCTCAGTTTGATTAAGAATTAAAAAAAATATCTTTAAACCGCTAAACTATTAATTGTCCTAGTTTATCAAAAGAGTTTATCGAAGTTTTCATTTATAATAGGTATAACATCAAAAAAAACAAATCACATCATATCTTACAAATTTTAAAGTCGGCTCTAAAAAAAGGAGAAAAGCTGGCTACGATGAAATCATTCAAAGCAAAAAAGTACGCAACATTCAAATAGATAGAGAAAGGAAATAAACGCAATTAAAAAAAGTGGTATAAAAATCGGTTTTTTCGGCTTTGGAACTTTATAAAAAAATCTGGTCACTCGATGTGCCAAAATACCAAGTAAATTAAAAAAAAAAATATTATCAGAGGGTCAGTGTTCATCGACAACACATGTAAAAAAAAGACATTTTCTCTTGAGACTTGCCACTTAGACAACTCTTGCATTTAGTCACGGGAACAAAATGCATTTATTCTCATATATCAAGGTAAAAAAAAAAAACCATTAAACAGATATATTTCATTCTACAATTTACAAAAAAATATTTAGCGAAGACTAAAAATAGAAGTGAGAACAAATTTAAAAAAATTTCATTTTTTTTATTGAAGAATTCTACCGACCTTTCATAAAAAAAATTCGATATGAACAGAGAAACTTTGACACCTATGAAAAAAAAAAAAGTAAAGGTCATGTTTAGGTCTTTGAAAATATCAATAGAAAAAAAAACATTACTTACCGGAGTGATCATGTGTACCTTTTATACAAAAAAAAAACGAGAATTTCTCATCCTTTGTCAGTAATTTAATAAGTAGATTGTAACAGCGTACAAATGACTCGACTTCGAACCATCAGGGCACAAAAAAATGATCTCTATCAGAGGAGGGTACGTCTCATGAAACATGTAAAAAAACTAAATAATCTCGTCATGCATTTTCTGAATCATAATTTTAAAAAAATAGCATTTCCAAGGTCACGTCTGATAACAAGGTCTCCTTAAAAAAAGTTATCTCTATACTCTGTAGTGATAAACACACTTCTTCTTACAAATCAAATATGTCGTCCAATAAACAGATGATGAGAATACAGAAAAAAAATCTCATCTGGAGGGTTTCATCTTGATATGACCCCAAATTAAAAAAAGACCCTTTTAACTGTTCTTGAAAGAATGTATGTCAGTCGGTGGAGAGAATAACTAATTAGATCTAAGGAAAAAAGGGAGTTATAAAAAAAAAACGCCGCCTATTGAATTTGATTTAGTTCTTCACAAAGAGAAAAAAATTTAAGCTCACGGTTCTTCATTGTTTCAAGTCAAGGTATAAAAAAAAGAGAGTCCTTTCCAGAGTAGTAAGTCGGCTCTTTTCGTACTTTACACCAGCTAAAATTTAGTCGATGGTATCAGTACTTTTCTAAAAAAAATTACAATTTTGTCTTCTATCGCAAAAGACGGTTGCCGCAAAAAAAATTGCTGAGATTTAAGTGTTCAAACTTGAATTGCACTTCTAAAAA